TACGTGTTATGGCCGAGAAGGCTAATCTGTCAATTCATGATCGACAGAACGGGGGCTCGAGTACCAGCGAGTCCACCTCTCCTTAATTTGTGACCCTGGACTCTTAAAATATGATGCTCTCGCTCACGCATGGATGGCAGCGTTCTAGTATTTCGTATTCTAATATTCCGTATCTTTTACTATGTGTGAAATAACAGGATAAACTAATCAAACCACATTCCACGGTTCATTTGATGAAACGTAACTCTAATGCTCATTACCTAACTAAAAGTTCAACTTTTATTATTTAAAGAAATGCTTTTTCTTAGCTCAACTTTTACACGCCATTTTGCTTATAAGAAATCAGCTGGCTTTAACGTCATAGGTGTGGCTTTAACGTCACATCTGTGGGTATTTGTGATCCTCTTCTTTAAGTGCAAATACTATGATACAATTAAATTGATCTTAATGCGTATGAAAACATTTCTTGTCAGTAATTTAACAAACAAAAAGTGTACAAAAAATAAAAACATACCAGTGGGAAAGTAAATAAAAAAATATGATCACATGTACTGTAAGAAATTTTAGTATACCTCAACATCACAAATGGTGACAACTGTAAACCAAAATGTTTTACAGTTTACTAAAATAGTTTAATGAAAACCAAATCTCTTGAACTTGCATTTACTTCAATATTTTTTAGTCAAAAAACAAGTCTAGTTGCAATATATTGGTTAAATCCGTTTTAGTAAATGTAAGTAAGTAAAAGTAATTTATTTAACGGACAGAAACTAATAAGGAGTTTTAAACGATCCAAAAAATAAAAAGGATTATAATGAGTTTTTCGTTACATGTGGAATAATATCCATTATCTGTTTCCAAGATTTCAAAAACTAATAAAAAACATAAGTCATAACATCATGCAGTTTACATGATGTTAAGAAATCCTCACTGATATTAATCACCATCTGTTCCCCTAACTATTTTCAACCAAATCAATAGAAACAAAATGTTTTATATCAAATAAAAGATGGAGCGTTCTTCCTTTTTCCCCCTTTAAAAATTAATCAGTTCTAATGGTCTTGTATAAATTTGAACTTAATAGGAAAAATCGAACATTTTTAGAAAAGTAACTGCTTTTTACTGGCTTTTACTTATGATTAAACTTTTACTTTTTCAAAGTTTTGCGTGCGGCAAATATAATTATGATTCCGAGTAGTGGTTCAACTACTAAAATTAGCTTTTATATTCTAATGATTAATTTAAATGTAGAAAGATGAACAACAAACATTAATCAATCGGAAAGTTTGAGAAATTAAAAGAAGTTTTATAAACTGCACTTGAAGCTGCTATTTATTATTATTTTTTATTATCTGAATACCCATTCTTCGCATAGGGAAAAAATTTAAATAATCAATTAGTTAGAGCTGAACAACACTTCAAAATATTTACTAAACTGAATGATATATACCATCATAGTTAATGAAACTAGAATAATTCCATTTTTTTAAATTTATTTATTGCAATATTTTGTCCTGTCTGGGGACTTTACGTTATCAGATTAAGCAAAACACGTTTTCAGCCAATACAAATGAAGATTAAAAATACATTCAGTATCACTTGACATGATACTCTTGCTCGAGGCAAACTGACTGTCAAAATTTTTCACAATCAAGCCATTTTCTCTGATACTTATGACATTCGGGTTTTTTTTAAATCTCTTTCTACGGTACCTGTTTTAAAACCGCACTGTTTCGATACAGTTTTAATAGGTACAAAATATACTCATACAAAAAAAGTTCCAATAATAGTATATTTGGTACCCACTGAAACTGCACTAGTTACCATAATACCAGTAGTACATATTACCAAAAATACGTCATTGGCGTCAATAATGATAAGATTTTTTAGTTTCCTTTAAATGAATTAGTACATTTTCTACATGAATTTAATTTTTTAATACTTTGCTTAGTTTTTTTAATTCCAATTAATACTTATTATCAAAATTAATTGAGCATCGTTGACGTCGAAAATAGTAAGACGATTTTTTACTTTATTCCTAAACGAATTAGTACCATTTCTCAGTTATTTTACTTTTCATTACATAGCTTATTTTTTTATTTCAATTAGTACCTATTACCGAAACTAATTACGCATCACTGTTATCAATGTAACACGGCGAGTTTTTACATTTTTCTTAAACGAATTAATACCATTGCTCCATTAATTTTGCTTTACAGTACATATCTTATTGCTATTTTTTTCATTTAAATTAATTCGATAAAATTAATTGAGCATCATTAGCATAAAAATTTGTAATGATTTTTAACTTTTCCCCTAAACGAATTATTACTATTACTCCAATAGTTTTTTTTGTTTTAATACTTAGCTTATTTTTCGTTTAAATCAGTAAAAAATTTTTAAATTAATTCAGATTCATTAGCGTCAGTAATGGTTTAGCAATTTTTTAGGCTTCTTTAAAGATTTAAATTATTATATTACAATTAAAATTCATTGTTTTGAGCTATAAATTCAAAAAGCCCCTACATAGTTATTTTCCAGGTATGTTTTATAATAACAATCGGTTAGCTGAATTAGAATTCTAACGGGGATTCGTTCGGCGTTAATTTTTTATTAAGTACCTTAAACGTGATTTTTCCAAATGTTATATTTAACGCTCATTTAGCGAAATTTCTAAAAGTCTTTAAAAATTTATTTTTTTTGCCCAAACTTACATTTTTAATCATTTATATATCTGCAACCAATGCGAAATAAACAAAATATTATTTCCTAACCAATAAGAATAAAAATCTATAATGAAAAATTCAACTTAATTTGTGAGTCAAACTTCGGGAACCTTTTTCACTAGGTCAAATACCATAAAATAAATAACATACCTATAAATATCTTGGGCTAACCTCTATATTAACTAAAAGTTAAATCCGTAGAATATTTATTTTTTCTTAACTTTAAAAACCTTTTGGATGCTTAAAATATTTATTTTCTATTCAAGATTTTTATATATATTTTTATCAAGATTTTTGTTTATATTTTTATATCTAGATAAATTTATTTTCTACTTCTATATATATTCAAGAATTTAGCTATTTATTTATTATGCTAACTTCATGTTAATTCTAGCTATGTTAACTCCATTATTATGTTAGCTCTTATTATTTGTTATGTTAAATTTGAATCTATTTGAATAAGTATTCTAAAATACACTTTTAAGTTGCGAGATTTTTAGTAAAGCTAACTATTAAATTAAAGTCAGACCTAAACACGTGCATTCTTTGAATAATGAAAAAAAATTTATGGCTTCGAAACTCTTAAAATAGAAGATCTGCATAAGATCTTTCTGCAATCTAGCATACGTGACCATAACAAATAAGTCAAAAAAAGAGGTTAAAGGTTTGTTTCTTTTACGTTATTTTTACATAAGAATTTCCCGTCATAATTCTGGAAAAAATATTTTTAAAAACATTTATAAACTCGCTTTTTCAATGATAATTTAATAAAAAAAATTAACTATTTATTATTTATTTTGCATTTTTGCTGTTTGAATAATATTAATGCATCTTAAATATTATATTAGTTTAATTGTCAAATATTACTTAAATACTTAAAAACACCTATCAGCAATCACTTAATTAAATTAATTTATTGATAATTTTTATATTAATAAATTAAGCAACAAAAATCTAAATTTAGAAAAATATATTAATAGTTATTTAAAAAGTATGAATAGTTATTTAAAAATCTTCAAATTATAATTCTTAAACGTTATATTTTTTAAAAATTTTAATTCCTCAAAATTATAATAATGTTAAAAAAAAAAAGATCATTTAAAGGGTGATAAAAATAGGTGTATTCTGATAAATTGCACTCTTATCTCTTATTTCTTAATATAATTTATAACAATTAATTAATAAGTATATTTGGGACTTGACCAATAAATCCGATGATTTAACCTAATGTTAATCAAGGTGATTAATTTTCTCCCTGACTGGACTATTAATAATTTTTAGCTTTCTGGAATAGTAAATTGACAATATAAGAAGAATTTTTTTAAATTTTAAGATATCATTTTTTGTTTACAGGGATCAAATTTAACATAGTTTACTTTGAAATTAGTTTCCCCATTTAAGGAATACCTTGGCAATTTTTAAGAAAAATCATTTATTGAACGTAAAAAAATTGTATTTTTATAATGTCTAAAAGAAAGCTCGTCTAAAATAATTCATGAATGAGACAATCATTATTTGATGTGGGACACTATGCACCCTGACCTAAAATATCCTCCCCCTAAAAAAGCATTTTAACTTAGCTGTGTTCAGAGGAAATTTTGTCTAATAATTCATTGTTCAGGGAAAATATTTTCAAATTTCCTTCGTTGCTAATAGTAAGTGTGATAAATTTGAAAAAATCTTTTTTCTCTTTGAAACCAGATTTTGTCCATGGTTGCTACACAACGTACTCACTAAGAAAAATCTCGGCATAAGTAGTGTTTACATTTTTATAGCTGAAGATCTTGCATTTGTGTTTCTCCTATTTCACAAACTTTGTTAATTCTATGCTAATTATTGTTATGGTTAAGTTGTGGTCAATAATAACATTTTCATAAACTTATAAAATCTAATTTATTGTACAAATCGAATGATTTTTTTAACTTTATTTTAAGTTTTTTAACCTGCGTTAGTCAAGGATACATGCTTAAGCTTTCGCCATTTAATATTTTTTATGAACTGAATAATAAATTGAGTGAATAATTCTTAGCATACTGAATGAATAAAAGACAATATGAATGAAAAATAATCTAAGGTAATCAATAAATACACTAAGCAATGGATTAGAGAATCAGTAAGTTTACGTGTTGGTAAATGGACTATGAAAATTGATATACCTATAAAAATAAACCTGTAATTTATATAATTTATAAATAATACGTCGGTGACTCAATATTATTTTATTTTATTGACTGACATTTTATATTTCACTAACTTCCTTCCCTGATATTTTAGATGGGTTAGCCCAGTATGAGCATCGAGGTAGCTGGCTCTATCTCTGATTACAACCACCACCATCACCAGGACTCAACTGCCGATAACCAATCACAATCACCGCGCTCCCGTACCTTATCTACCTCAACCCTGCTCATCAATCCTGAAGATACAACAGTTCCTACTCATAAGCGCATAACCATTTCCCAGGTACGTTTTTACATGTCTTGTTTTGTTATTGTGTACTGAACTAGTAAATTATTTCAGAAACAATTTGTTGCTTTTTTCCTAAAACTCTTTTTTGTACTAATTAAAGGAAAAAAATATTATTTTTAAATTAATTTGAATTTCCTCATTTTTGAAAAAATAAAAATTTAAAATGTTTTATTCAAAAAAAATTTTTAATGTTAAATATAAATATATATTTTTATTTTATTTTCAGAGAATTCGTCTGTCACCATCATTTTGTTTAATCTTTTTGCTGTGCACCTCTTCAATTTTATTTGTACAGGTTCTATTTCAAGCGGGTGGTATTGACAATTATTCTCCAATCATCTGCGATAGCTCCTTCAACGACAAAGATGATCCTTCAACTAACACACAGCAAAAACTATTGTAAGTGGACATTGCTATACTAATCAAAAAAAAATTGTAATCAAATTAGCAATTTGTTTAATCACACTGCACTGTAAAAAAATTCCTGATCAAATTACAGTAAAATCCATTTTTAACGGAACACGTAACTAAATAAAACATTCCATAAACCGCAATTTTTACAATAATTCTAAATGAGAAAGTATTCTAAATAAGAAAAATATTAGAAATCTGTCGTTTATATTATAGAAATCAAATAAATATTAGAAATAAGTTTGAGCGAAATCTGTCGAATAGTTCCTGAAAAATGACTTAGAACTATGACTTTTTCAAAATTCGAGTTCTCAGAAACTATTCGACCAATTTCGTTCTAATTTTATATTTTACCTTTCAAAATTGTATTCTTTAGAATGAAATAAAAGTTGTATACCTTATAATTCAAACTTTTCTCGACTATTATTAAAAAAAAAATAATAAAAAAACTAAATATTTATTAAAATGTATATTTTGCATGGAATAAACATATTTTGCATGGAATAAACATATTTTGCATATTTTGTATTTTGCATATTTGAATAAACGAAATTTATGACTGTGTGCAAAAAATTTTCAACTCGTTTAAAAAGTTCACGAGATCACGCAAAAAGTAAAATTAACGTTAAGGGGTCCAAACATTACACCACTTTTTGTTCTTTTCCCGACTTCCGTGTCTGGTCTTTGTACCTGACATCGTAACTTAAAATATCATTTGCAGAAATTAAAGAACATATTTAAAGTGTACCTCTAGAATCTTTAAGATTGCATGTTAGTACAAGAAAAGCCGTTCATTAAATCAAAAGTTATTCGTCATGTTCACTTTGTATTCTGAACACTGTGCTTAAAAACAGTATTTATAACAGCTTTAACTCCAATCTGTCTAAAATATGTCGGATTTCAAACAAAATATCGCGTGTATAAATGTTCAATTGAAATCTTTCAGTTTTTAATCAAATTTTTTATTATAATTATACATATTTTTTCGCATTAAGAAATTATAAAATAATAGATATCTAACTACTTTTAGTATGGAGAATTATGGGGAAAACGTTTTCTTCTAAAATAAGTTTCTCGTCCAAAAAGCTACTTTTAGCATAAAAAATTATTTAAAAAAATGCTTGTCTTAAAATAAATTACTCGTCAAAAAAATGCAAACTACTTTTTGCATTAAAAATTATTTTTAAAAAAAATGCTTTTCTAAAATAAATTACCAGTTTAAAAAGTTTAAATTACTTTTAGCATATATATATAGAAAATTAGGAAAAAAATGCTTCTTATGAAATGAATTACTCGTCAGGTAAAATCAAACTACTTTTAGAATAAAAAATTATAAAAAATATGCTTCTTATGAAATAAATTATTTTCCAAGTAAAATCAAACTACTTTTATCATAGAAAATTATGAAAATAAGGTTCCTCTAAAATAAACTACTCGTCACATAAATTCAAACTACTTATAGAATCGAAAAATATGGAGAAAAAAAATGTTAAATGACTCGTCAAGTTAAATTCGAAAAATTTTCTATTAAACTTAAAAAATGTTCGTAGTCTAAAAAATACATCGATGTTGTGTAGTTCTCTTTTCAAATTTCGTTCGATATACTTTTTTTCGATGAACAAATATGCAGAATATATTGCCCCATGACAACGCTAGTCGAAGTAAGAGTATGAGGCTTATTTTAACAAAAATGAAAAATATCCTAAGACTTACAATAAAAAGTATATATACTGCAGTGAGTAATACGACTAGAAAGATTTTTGAAGTGAACGATTCCTATAATAAATTGCCAATCAAATATTTTCCATATTGCTATTTTTTCATAAACATGTTTCGAACAAATAAAAAAGAATATTTTTTTCATAAAATGATAAAATGTGAATATAAATTGCGGAGTATGTGATCGCAAGAAAATTTTTTTTATTTTGTATTTGTTATTCTATTTTATTATATTATTTTCATATATTTATGAAAACTAACAATAGAAACAAAATAATTCAAAACGCAAACAGAATATAGTGACACAGAAATTTTTCAATAAATTTTTACGCAAAAATTGGGTTTTGTATACTACATGCTTGAATTGCATTCATACATTTTTTATTCTGTATTAGAATATTGATTGGAATAATATATTTATAAATTTTTAAAACTATGTTTTATTAATATTATTATATATTTTCGAATAGTAATTGGGTAGTTTATTCAGTTATATGTAGGCATCTCAAACTCAATTTCGAAGGATTCATTGAAGCATGAATTCGAGTACTATGCACCATATATTTGGTACATTCAACTTGTAGCAATTTAGTGAATATTTTTCATTATAAATTTTACGTTAAAGAACTATGTTTAGATTTATATTCAAAAGTGAAATGTTTCGTTGACATTCATGTCCTCAAATTAGAGAGATGCAGAAAACTATAAACTGTTATACATAGCTATAAATTTTGTTCTTCGTACTAAAAACAATGTAAATTTTAATTTGAATATTTTGAAATGAAAATTTGATCTGAGCGTGCTCTCGTCACATTTATATTCTGTTTCAGGCCGAAATAGCCTGGTTGGTAGGACGTTGGACCCATGCCCAAGGGATCATGAGTTCTGTCCGAGCCAGCCGAAGACTCCCCTGTCGTAAATGGTGATTGGTACACGTTAAATATGGTGGGTCGAGCCGTGGTGACTCATGGGATAGAGCGTTCGCCTCTCAATGAAGTGAACAGGGTTCGGTTCCCAGAGATGGTTGGACGATACGAATTCCGCTTCCAGATCACACAGCGCTGACATAAACTATCCTCATTGGTAGACGGATCATGGGTTAGAATCCCCATGCCACCAGATGAACCGTTGAAGGTTTTCATGGTTTTCCTCCCTATGTAACGCAAATGCGGGTTACATCAGAAAGTCTTCCACGAAGGCAAAATTTATCCAAATGCTTGATCCTGCAGTTCCCTTGTCTTCTGAATTGGATTCAAAATTACAAGGCTTCGGTGATGAACATTGGTATCCGTAAACTCAAAATAGGGTCGTCTGTTCAACGATGGTTATAAAATATGAAATAAAAATCATGATGGGTCACAAAGCCCTCCAAGTTTCCATAACAAATTAATGCATCTGGGGGTACTGAATTGGAGATTGATAATTCTCTGGTTCAGATCAAAATTGAGATGTGGGGATGAACAAATGGATGTATGAATGGGTCCAACCTTTAAAGCGGGCGGTGACGTGTGTGACTAAACCCGTATTCTTGGCCATAAATAGAGTCACTGAAAAGAAAGAAGCTCACCCATTGCCTTTAATTTGCTTAGTTTTCCCAAGTAGGCAAACTGATATTTGGCAAGTTGTATTAGAAGCAGCAACAACATGTTCTGCTACACCATGATGATCATATGTTGAAAGTGTTGATAGTTCTAGTATTCTCGAAGTGAAAATGCGTATTTCAAAGCAAAAAGTACCAATTATAGAGCAAAATATCCACTATTAATGCATCCTTTTTATAGTGGAAAATATTTCGTAATGATGATTACAAGTGACAAAATTTTCATTTTGAGAATCAAATGTTTTCTAAGCAATCAATTACTATTTAGCTTTGATACTAAACCTTTTTATTTCATGTCACTTTAAAAAAAATAAGCTAAGTGTTGAACCACAATATCGGTATATTAATAATACCATAATACCAAATAAACCTTTTAACCAAATACCATTAATTCCATTTAACCAAATTCCCCGAAAATTAGACATAAACTTGAACCGTATTTCCTTTCAACTTAAATCTTATTATCATGAAATCAGGGGGAAATAATAATTTACGAAATTAATATATTAATAACACGGTCCAAACTTTTTAACAGTGTTATCTTTATGCCTTATGACCTATTATAAATAAAAGATTATAAATAAATTGCCTCATTTTTTTTTTAGGTTAGCTGATGGTGCTCGTCTTCGTTTTCCGAAAACAAAACGCCGTTTGCCACAGTGCATCATAATAGGCGTACGCAAGTGTGGAACAAGGGCTCTACTAGAATTTCTCAATTTGCACCCAATGATTCAAAAAGCAGCAGAAGAAATCCATTTCTTCGATGACGATGACAAATACTCTTTGGGACTTGACTGGTACAGACGAAAAATGCCTTATTCTTTCCCGGGGCAAATAACTGTCGAAAAAAGTCCAGCCTATTTCATAACTCCAACTGTCCCCGATCGCATTCGAAAGATGAATCCTTCTGTGAAACTCCTCCTCATTGTCCGAGAACCCGTGACTCGTCTGATATCAGATTACGCTCAGCTGGCCTCTAACAAAGCGAGGAAAGAAAGGACATTGGCATCCTTTGAGGATTTGGTCTTGAGGACTGATGGATCTGTTAATGTCGGTTACAAAGCTGTTCGAATCGGAATGTATTCTTTGTTCTTTCCGAGGTGGCTAAGAACGTTTCCCAAAAGTCAAATACATATCGTTGATGGAGACAATCTTATTGTCGATCCTCATGGCGAAATTCGGAAAATCGAAGACTTCCTTGGTCTGGATCACAGGGTGCAAAAAGATAACTTTTACTATAATGAGACTAAAGGCTTCTTTTGTGTGCGGAATGCTACTGCCGACAAATGCTTGAATGACAGTAAAGGTAGAAAACATCCAACCGTTTCGCCATTTGTGATCAAAACCCTGAAGAAGTTCTACGCGCCACACAATAAGCAATTCTTCAAACAATCTGGCATTTCTTTAAATTGGACTTCCGATTGAAAAAGATGCCATTTTTAATACTTGTTCAGTTTTCTGTTATCTTTGCTACAGGTGTCCAAAAATGGCCGACAGTTTCAGAAATAAATTAATAAAAACGAACGGACACTGAAATGTATCTTCCCCTTAGGAAGCCAGAAAATTTCTTGTCTCAAAGTTTCAAAATTATTTTCAAATTTCGTCAAGAGAGGGCGCATAAAGCTAGGAGGAGAAACTAAAAAACAATGTTTTTGGAACAAATACTATTTGCGTATATCAATCACGTGAAGTTGTCTGAGGACAAAAACAATGCCTCAGTATATATTTTAGATGCTCCGATATTCAGCACATTACATTGTTTAATAGTTTTTCTCTAATCAGCAGAGCTAACTGTTGAACTTCCTAACTAATTTCGATTAGATTATTTGTTTTCTGAAATGAAAAACATACTTTTCTACTTCTTCCCATTTTATTTGTATCAATTTTTTAATTCACCTCTAAATTTTGGGACGTCGGTAAATTAAATTTGAAAATAATGTGTAACAAGACTTCTTAAAAAATTTTCACGCGAAAATTATTTTACGTAATCTTATATATGTAATATGTTGTAGATATATTACATAATAAATATATATTGAGACTTTATGTTTAAGGTTGATATTGATATAATCGAAAAAAACTGTTCCTTTGTTCAATTACATTTTTAGAAATTTGTTAACATTTTTTTTTCCATTTAGTTTTTTGAATATTTCTTAATTCATTAAGATTATAGTGTATAGATTTCACATCAGTCCCAGAAGTTTCTGAAACATTTTTCTGAAGAAAAAAAAATTTGAAGGAAGTGAATAATTTCGTTGTAAAAGGAAAAAGACATATCAAACCAAAATTTTGTAAAGAAAAGGGGTAAATTCACACTACTAATAAGCTGGCGAAACTATTTCATTTCTTTCACGGATTTATCTATAAAAATTAATTACAAAAATTTCGTAGAGAAAAAAAACGAAAATCTTCGTTGCAAACAAAAGTTTTGAAGCTAAATTTTATGAACAGATGTGTGAAATATCAGTTTATTTAAATGTTTTAGAATCACGGTACAGAAAAAGAGTGACACGTACTCATAGTTACTCAAAATTGATTTTAAAAAAACATATCTATAACACTTTTAGTGACATGGATAACAGAAATATGAACAAGTATATTAAAGCATTTAACATACATATCATGTATAATATTGTTGTCATTTTCTTATCCATTCTTATTGAAATTTTTCTTTTGATATGTAAACTTTTTTATCAAAGAATAATGAAAATTTGTATTATATTTTTCTTGATGTTTGGAAGTTGCATGACAGTATCACTAAATTTAAATTTGACAGAATCATGTTCTTCAATTTATTGATAATAAAATTTATGACTAAAAACTAGTACGTACGCAAATAGTGTATTGAAAGATATACATATTGTATAAAATTAAATATGTATAATAGTGTATTGTAGTATTAGTGTATTGTAAAATTTCATTACGTTTTAAGATGAACTTAATTATTAATATATTTTGCTTAGTTCATTATTGTTGCTGAACATTTTACATAAATTAAAACAAAACAATCATTTTTAACTAATGAAATTTCACAAAAAGAAATGTGCACATATACTTTTAAAAATATTTAAAGTGGATTAGAAGTTTATGTACTGTGCATTTATATACAGCTTGTTTTGTAATCACCAGTCTTAATATAAATATTAAGAATCACAAATAAATATTTAAATCAAGAAAAAAAAGTTATTAAAATCTGATGAAACACATTTGAGGAAGACGTGATAAAGAGCATCAAAACTATTTTGATCTCCTGGCGCAGGTCTTGAAATTTGTAATATACACTTCTTCGTTACTTATTATTCAACTTTTGATTAAGTTTTGTTTTCTTCTTTCCTCGCCTAAGTATTAAGTTTCGACACATAAACTGTATACTTTTTTCTTCATTTTTGGCAATGATTGAATATATATTAATAATGGTGATTGTGAAACATTCTTTATATATTGCTAGATTTTTCTTTATAAATCATAATCAATGGTAATAATAACAATCGTAATAATAATTAATTTCGCATAAAACATAAAATAATTTTCATTTCCCATTTTCTTCTTGCATGAAGTTATTTTTCAATTTCTAATTTTGGCTGACATAAAAATATTGTTTCATTCCTCACTTTTCTGAGATGGTAATTTTTCGTGTTCTCAATTTTTTCTGTTTCAAAAAATACCCTGACATTTCTTCCGATACCTTTCTTTATAGATTATGGTCAACGACAGTTTTACTAAATTCAAATAATTTTTCTCGTAAAATTATTTTTTTTCATAAAATTATTTTTATTTCACACTTTTTTCTGACATAAAAATAATTTTTCTTAAAATTTTGTCAAGCATTAAAAAAAAATTTCGATTTGTAAATTTTCCATGGTAATTTTTTTTTATTTATTTACTTTTTTTTGCTCTTATTTTTAACATTAAAAACCTGTCATATTTCTGACATCTTTCTTGTACATAATGGTTAAATGACATTTAAATTAAATTCAAAAAATCTTTTCACATAAAATCTTTTTAACATAAAATAATTTTCATTTCCCATTTACTTCTTACCCGAAGTCATTTTTCAATTCCTAACTTTGGCTAATATGAAATTATTTCTTTTATTTCTAATTTTTCTGAGATAGTAATTTTTTGTGTTACCATATTTTTCTGAGATTAAAAAATCGTTAACATTTTTTCCGAAAACTTTCTTTAAACAATATGGTCAATGATGATTTAACTAAATTCAATTCATTTTTTTCTTCAATTCATTTTTTTTTCTTCATTTTTTTCTTCATTTTTTTCATTTCAAAGAATTTTCATTTCTTACTGTTTCTGACACAAAGTCATTTTTTAAATTACTAATTTTGTTCTGGCATAAATTATTTTTTTTTTATTTATATACATTTTTTATAAAGTTTTGATATTCACTTTTTTGGCATTAAAAATTTCATCAACAAAAATTAATGAATACACGAATTTAATGACAATTACATACATATTTTTACGTTTTAAGTCGCATAAAATGTGCCATATATTGTTTCATGTTTTGTTTACCATTTGTTTTTAACATGATTATCATAGTTTATTAGAACCTTTAACGGATACTATAATATCATCTGCAATGCATTTTAAACTCATTTGTATTCTTATTTATTTCTACAGAGTTTATATTTTATCTTTAATGTTTTTTTTCGTTTATTTATTGTTTATTACCAAATCTTGATGTAAATAACAGTTACTATATATCAGTTGTTATAAATTATTCTGAAATTTATTGTACAGATGTTTAAGTATACAAATGTTTATGAAGCATTTATTATTTAGGGAAGTGTCGAATAGCATGAATTTTCTTATTTATTAACAAGATGCAGATTAGATAAATTGAATTTCATATTAATTGTTAAAATTCATTATTAAGGATACTGACTGTAATTATAAAATTATTATTAATACTAATAAGATATCCTAGATTTTGGAAATATTATTAAATTTTTCATTAACGATATTGATTAGATATCATGAAATTTCGTTTTTAAAAAAAATATTTTAAATTCATGTATAGAATCGAAACATTGTCAAAACACTATTAACTCAATATTTGCAGAAAGTATTTTTTTTTTTCTTCATAGAAATCTCGTTTTCAATTCAAAAAATTTAACCCCTTGTATGTGAAATATATTTGAGAAAAACGAAAAAGGGAGAAAAATTTTCTCTTTCATTTTGTTTGTTATTATCCTCAAAATGCTCAAAATATGTTATTTTTGAAGAATTTTTTTTAAATGAAATAAGTACTATAATCAATATTTCACGTGTATGAGAAATGTAAATGGATTACAGTAGTTTTTTTTTTCCTCAAATTACAGTAAAATAAATCAAATGGCATAATTTTCAAGATAAATATAATAAACTAATACAACAATATTATTATTTGTATCAACTGTTCAACATTTATTTCAACTATCAACATTAGTATTTATATCAAATTACAAACATCCAACAAATGACGCGAAACTGACAAACTTTTAAAAACGCCATCTATTAGAAAAATGGTAAATTACATATTATGCATTGGAGGAACTGAATCGGGTTTCACGGAATTCCCGAACTCAGGATGGGCATTCCAAAATTGGCGCATTTGCGTTTCCCGAACTGAATTCGAGCAACACAAGCAAGGGGTTAATCACCTGTTAAATTAGTTTCCTTCAAAAAGATAAAAATTACTTTAAGTAATCATTAATTAAAAATATTGAAAAGAAACTGATTTTATTTTAATTTACCGTACTATCTGACACTCCCTTACTTTTAAAGTTTATTGAAACTAGTATACTGAACACTGAAGCTTTATTTTATGTTAGATAAATGAAAAAATTAGCATGAAAAATTATAAATAAATTCGTTATAAGTTATCTGAGCAGTCTTCCTTTGTTTTAGATTTTACACTTATTGCACCAATCAAATAAGAAATTTAATAATAAGGTAGAATATTAATAAGTCAAATCGCAGTTTTACTTGTACGATGTTCAAAGCTATAAAATGAAAAATAACATTATGCAAATATAATAACAGAAAAATGATTTAAACTGGCGGTTTTAATCCGTCTATAATTACGATAAAAAAAATAGCAGAAAACAATTTTGACCACAAAACAGCTTTAAACTATCAAATATACAGAGAAAGTAAATCTGTTTAAACTGTTTTTTTTTATGAAAAATAGATTTTTCTTCTGCAGAATTTACACTTATTTTTTTACAGTGTATTCACTCAATCTAAGCAAACAACTTTAAAATAACTTAAGTATTATTCATCCCTTTTTCGTTACACTTGTTATAGAGTATTTGAAATACTTTAAAAAAAAACCTGCGAATTATTTATTGGGAATCACTATCCTTATTGTCATTATTTTCCAAAACAAAGCTAAAAATATCTTTCCGAAACTTCGTTTTAGCAGTAACCGTAAAACTCCAGATTTATTGCAACTTAGCAACCGAAAACAATATTTTTTGAAACTCCCGACGTAGGATTCCCCTAAAGAAAATTTGGAGAAATAAAGGGAAGTGGGAGAAAGAAAAAACAACAACAGAAAACTCTGAGGATAAACTGGAGAAAACAATAACAAGAAACAACAGCAACTTTGTTTTGAAACCACTGTAGATCGCTATTGATAGTCTAGGGCTGTTTTTGGTGAAGTTAGATAAGACCAGGACCACTAGGTTTGGTATTGATTTTTCTTCTTTTTTTTTAAACAGTGAATAACAGCTTTGCTTCACTTACTCCAGTACAGGGTAGTCTGTCATATCCGGGAAGTCCACGAATATGACCGTTGGGAGCTACTATTCTTCATTTTTTTACTCAAAGTTTCTTTCATGTCACAAAAGAAGTATTTTTTTTACCAGTTTTTCGTAATATAGTGCAAAAAAGAACGTTATAAATAATGTTTAGAAAATATCTAATTTAACAAATTGTTTCCCATTTATCAACAAAATAACCATGCTCTATTTAAATATGGAGGGAAGATTTATAATATCAGACACTCTTTTTAACACTAGAAAGACTGAAACTTAGTATATACCTTCATTGCCCAAAAGCAGTCAAAATGACTGCATTGTAAAAGAATAAATAATGTGTAAAGAAATTTGTTTAATTAATTTTTAATATTTTTTACATTATTTACAGTTATATAACAAGTTATTAGTAAATATTAACAATAAAAAAATTTACTTCACTTGGGAAGAAAATATTAATTTATGCATTATTATTTGTACATTTTTTGCAAATGAAAAAGCAGTCAAAATGTGTTAGAATAAGGTTAGAACATAACTATTATGATGTTCATTATTTTTAGAAATTATGAACCGGTGTAAGTCAATAAATAATAAGTCAAATTTAATGAGCCAAATTCGCAAAACTTAAAAGAACTATTTATATCAAAAAATAAAAATGTTAGCAAATGTGCAACATCTAGAAAAGATGTCCTTTAAGGAGATAGAACCAAGATAGTACAAAACTTTACTGAACTATATCATTCTTTCTTTTAGAATTTATCAATGACAACAATCATTAAACAGTTACTATATTTTCCTTTATGATAAACTAGAGCACTAAGCCTCCTGTTCACTACCTCTCACCAGTCCTAATGATTGCTTCGTAATAATTGCTTCTTGGCATAAATGAGTTTTTGTCTACCATAGTTGAAATTGTTCTTTTATATATGTACTGAAAAGAATTATGTTTGCTTACGCTTGTTCCCCCCTTCCCACGTCCAATTAAAAGTATATTGTTATAACAAATTTGGTGCGTTCACAACCCTAGTTTCATATTTACACTTACCAAGGGACGGATATATAAAATACAACTTTTGCTTGAAACGCATTGTACATGAAACTAATCGTTAAGTTCTAAATCATTTAACGAATCCCTTTAACTTTAGTTTATAATAGTATATAAATGAAAATAGCACAAAAAAAAATAATTTTGAAACGGTTAATAAGATTACACGCCGATTTAAATAACTTTATCTTAAAATGAACGTAAATTACTTAATTATAAAAAAAATTAAAAAATTAATGAAGTAAATAAAAAATAAAAAAAAATTTATTTGTAAATTTTTAATTTAAAAAACAATCGAAATCAAAGATGAAACAATAGCAGTACAGGTACCTTTAAATTGGATGCCTGCTGTTAGAGTGACGTACTGTTGGCATCTCGATCCTGATTGGTTGTTGAAACGAGGAATTTGCTGTTAAATTGTGTTAAGCCATTACGTATCAATTTTCTTAAGTGACTCATTCTATATTCTTTTACAAAGATTCTTAAGCAGAGCTTTCAATTGTTTCACTATGTATTTCTTACTTAGCTCAAGGACAGGCAAGGAGCCATGCAGAACATAAACAAACTAATTATATATCGAAGTTTCCAGGTACACAAAACAAAAATATATCACGGTTACAATAAGGTGCATAAACAAATCTATGTTAAGTAAAAGCCGTAGTCGAGAAGGAATTATATTTTAGCAAATTCGATGACCGATACGTGCTGTTAACTTCACGTTAATTAACATTCCAACCGATGTGGAGAAACTTAGCTCAACTTCAATATGCCATTTTGCTTATAAACGATCATCTGACGCAATATGTCACATGTGTGGGTATTTGTGATCTTCTTGAAGTGCAAGTATCCAATTTGGTACACGACTTTTATTAATTTTATGCTGACGACAAACAAAATAATATGGAAGTCAATGGGGAAAACTGGATCCTAACATGTGATTTTCTGGCCAGTTAAAATGTACCAGCAATAATTGAAAATTGTGTTAAACCATTACGTTTGCATGTGTACGTATATGAATCACATTTTGGCTAAACCTATTACATTTCAATGGCAAGCTTAAAAATTCAACGAAAGAATTTTTTTTTTCAAAACACCATCCAAAATCGCACTATTCTCAATCGAAAGATTTTGTTTTCTCAATGTCATCTTCAAATAACCTACACGTGTATTTTCGATTGAATCTATTCTCTCCTGCTGCAATAGAAATTCCTCACAGTTAGGGAACTAACACATAATAGGCACATTTTCCCAAAATTTTAAAAAAAAAAGTCGATGCGGAAGTTTAGTACACTGTAAAAAATTAATGCTTCAATTTCGCGAAACTTTCTTCCTTTTTGATCAATCCGTATCCTGGTATATGATCCGAGGAGATGTTACGCTAGTGACGAAATAAAATCTTTGAAAGAACGAATTTCGTCAAAATGAGAGAAATATTTCAT